GGTAGATCAGAAGTGGAGCAGGCAGGACTCGAATTGGCACTCCAACATGTGATGTGGGCGTACTAGCTGGCAGTTAAACTGCTGCACCATAACACCCACCTGGAATATAAGCATCTAGGTTTTGCCATTTCCTTGGAGCTTCATTTTCCTACAGGGCTCCCACATACATGTAAAAATCTGTGTGTTTCTCCTGTTGATCTACCTTAAGCTAATTTAATTCTTAGGCCCAATCAAAGGCCCTGAGATAGACGGTAACATTTTGCCTACAATAGTAAAGTGCACTAAAACATAACCCAAACCACTTAACTTAGGACTTATAGAAGATAATTCTTCCTCATCAAGGTAGAGATGGGAAAAATGAAAAGGCAAGCAAGTAACAGATCTAAAAATGACAAATTCCAACTCCACAGCAATTCAAATGAAAAGTCTTACAATTATAATTACTAGTACCTATCACACAGCTTATCTGAAAATTTCTTCAATAAATATCCTAGTAGAGATGCCGAAAGATAACAAAAATACAAACACTGTACAAAGATCATTTTAAAAATTTCATAGTTTATTTTGCTGCAAAGACTTTTAAGTCCATGCATAGTTTTCTCATAATGCACATTTCCAGAACTTTCTGAAGCCCCTTGTACACTGAGTTGCCAGAAAGAAGGGATGTACTAGGAGTGAAATTCACTGGTAAACTACAGAAGTAAATGTAAGTTGAGTGGGGTCAGTGTTGTGGCACAGTGGGTTAAGCTGTCTCCTATGATACCGGCATCCCATATGAACCAGCTGTTCTACTTCCGTTCCAGCTCCCTAAACCACTGTGTGTGGGAAAGCAGCGGAGGTGGCCCAAGTGCTTGGGTCCCTGTCACCAATGTGAGAGATCTGGATGTACTTCCAGGCTCCTGGCTTCAGCCTGGCCCAGCCCTGGCCATTGCAGCTATCAGGGGAATGAAATACTGGAAGGAAGATCTCTGTTTCTCCCCTTCTCTGTAACTCAAATAAATAAATAAATAATTTTTTAAAGTATAAATGAGAGATTTCATGGTACAATCCATAGACAAAAAATAAGCAGAAGATAATTCTGGTGCATTCCCAAAAGTGTCTCTCAGATTTTAACACCTCATGAGTGCTGAACAGCTGTATCAAATGATTCAATAATTAACTGCACTTCCAGTACAAAATAACTAAACTGAAGGAATGAACCTGCAAATCAGGACCTGTTTCAAAACATTCAGCTTTCTCATCACACTAATTCCCAGGCTTTCCAACTTTCCTGGCTGAATCATACTGTGATTCTCTCCTTTTCTTCTTAACACCTATCCAATAATATGAAATTTATACTCACTGAGTAATTCCTCTGTTCTGAATTTTAAAATACTGAGTTTAGCATTTTACATTTAAAAATTAAAAAGAAAAATCAAATTAATTTTTATTAGTGAACGAACTTTGAAAGGAAAAATACATATATATTTATATAGTCTCCATTTCTATAAATGTTAAAAATAAACAGAAATTGTGATCAAGTTTGATATGGAATTTTTAAAAAATTTCCTAATAAAAATAACTGCATGGTCTCAATGTTGCTGCTACTGTCAGTACTATAATGATTTTCCAGATTGCTTCCTTCTTTGAGTAGTATAAGAAATCTGTCATTTTCACTACATGTTAAAGCTCAGGTGATAGAAAATTAAGTTTTTGATTTTGTAATTTTTTTAACATTTCATTCATTCTACCTCTACCACTTCACCCTCTACATCTGTCAGCTTCAAAGAAAAGAGACAAACCTGAGGACTGTTAAAAAAATTAAAGCTATGAAGTTCTCTGAACTCAAAAAGGGTTGTAGTCTGTGAAACTGACAAAGTTCTTTAGTTTTTAATGTTTCCCAAGTGCCTATCAATTATATAAAGCTGTGAGTAATAAATGCCATAAAACACAGTTCCAAAGCCTTTCCAGTTTTATTTTTAAGGAATATATTGCATGTAAAAAACACCATCACATTCAAAATGGTAAAATGAAAAAAATGATAAACTACTTTTTCCAACTGAACAGTCCTCAGCTTTGCCTAGAATTTTCATAGTTCATATTACACCTTCCAAATCTTAGTCTTTTCCCTTATGCACTTTTTACAATAGTCCTGTATGATCTCTAACCAGACTTATTCAGAACATAATACAGAAAAGCCAGCCCCCTTTTGGTAGTATAAAACATTTTAAGTGAGAATTAGGGGTATACAGTTAATGAAAATCCCAGCTAACTAAGAGTTAATTATATAGCTGCAGATAATCTCTCTCTGACCTCCCTGCCTCACAAGATTTTCAAATTAATAAGAAAGATTGGGGCTGGCTCTGTAGAGCAGTAGGCTAAGCCTCTGCCTGCGATGCTAGCATCCCATATTGGCACTAGCTTGTCCCACATGCTCCACTTCTGATCCAGATCTCTGCTGATGGCCTGGGAAGTGCTTGGGCCCTAGCCACCCACATGGGAGACCCAGAAAAAGCTCCTGGTTCCTGTCTCCTGGTTTTGGATGGGCCTAGCTCTGGCATTTGCAACCATCTGGGGAGTGAACCAGTGGATGGGGGACCTCTTTCTCTGTCTTTCCCTCTCTCTCTTTCTCTGTTACTCTGCCTCTAAAATAATAAATAAATAAATCTTAGGGAAAAAAAGCTGATTGTTACAAATTATGAAATTATCTGAAAGAAAAATTTTCTGCTATTTCTAAAAGACAGAATAATCAATAATTTGGCCATCCCATAAAGAACTTCAATGAAGCCAAATTTGCTTTATTTTTCCAAAGATTATGTTGTCAAGATAGTATAGAATGATTCTTTGAAAGTATAAATGTATGTGTGGAATTTTAAGTTATTTTATTAGTTTCTCTTTTAAAGTTATAGATACAAAAATTCCAAATTTCCACTTGATAATATACATGAAATGTTTTATACTTCCAACAGATATTTATATTTTGTACATTCTATATAAACTACAATAGCCATATCTGAAAATCAACTAATTGTGTATATATTTACACTATATAAAGAAAGGACAGAGACTTACCTTTTTTTCTGTTTTCTATACAAAAATTTCAAAAATGTTTTCTTTTCAAAATTGAAACTGAGACTTAGAAAAGTAAAATATGGTCAATCTGATTTCATGGGAAATCACTTGTTTGAAAAAAGAAAAACTGGCATATGAACCACAAGGTGGTGCTATCATTCCATGCTGGCCCTGAAGTTGACTGAAATACTAGTAGGTTCGTCTACTACTGTCATCTCTTCATTTTTATAAATGTATTTCTCTGGCAATTAAAAAATAAACCTAATAGGATTCATTAATTTTAGAAATATTTACTGAAATTCTATTAAATTCAAGATAATAGGATTCTTTATGCCAACATAATGGCTCAAAACTGTAAATTACTAATTACATTTATATTACTAAACATTTATTCAAATACTAAAAATGTTTTCTTAAATATTAATACCACTCATAATTATCAGACAATGAAAAGTTACATATAATATACACATAATATATAATATAAACTGAAGGATAAATAAAATTTAATCAGATGATCTATATGATGGAAAAAATACTTCCCTTGCAATAATGGAGTCAATTTTCTTGAGAATTATTTAAAATTACTATTATACTTTTATTTATAAAGATTAAAAAGGATTATTTACAAATGATTTTAAAAATGAATTTTTTCTCATAGTTTATACAAGATTTTTTCTCTCTCTTGAAACAATAATTTCCCATTATTCAGGCTGGCACTGTGGCTTAGTAGGTTAAGCCTCCACCTGTGGTGTTGGCATCCCATATGGGTGCTGGTTTGTGGGCCAGCTGCTCCTCTTCTGATCCAGTTTTCTGCTAATAGCCTGGGAAAGCAAGGAAGGATGGCCCAAACACTTGGGCCCTGCACCCCGGTGGGAGACCTAGAAGTTCCTGGTTCCTGGCTTCAGATTGGCCCAGCTCCAGATGTTGTGGTCCTCTGGAGAGTGAACCAGCAGATGGAAAACCTCTCTCTACCTCTCCCACTTTGTCTGTAACTCTGCCTCTCAAAATTTTTTGTTAAAAAAATTTTCCCATTATTAAAAACAAAACAATACAAAAACTTGTGTAAATTTAAAATGCAGGATATAGAGTCTGGCATTGTGGCATAGTAGGTTCAGTTTGTCATCCCATATGGGTGCCAGTTCGAGTCCCAGCAGCTCCAATTCCGATCCAGTACCCTGCTAATGGCCTGGGAAAGCAAATGAAAATAGCCCAAGTGCTTGGGTCCCTACAAACATGTGGGAGACCTGGAAGAAGCTCCTGGTTCCTGGATTCAAATGGGCCCAGCTCTAGCCACTGTGGTCATCTGAGGAGTGACCCAGTGGATGGAAGACCTCTCTTCTCTGCCTTTCCCCCCCTCTCTCTGTAACTCTGCCTCTTGAATAAATAATAAATCATTTAAAAATTTCCCATTATTAAAAACAAAGCTTACTGTGTATCTTTTAATGCTGGATGGCCACCATTTTATCTGTACTGCTGATCTTAAAATGTGTTACAGAATACAGCACTAAAATACTCAATTTAATTCACAGTGAACCCTTCCAACCTATGTTGAAATACAAAAGGAAAATTATACCCTTTCTTTCTCAGTGTTAACTGAAAAAATATTACAGCTTTTTGCCTAGCATGAAATGCTGTATTTTTGTATTATTTAATTTTCAATGAGCATTTTTAGCTTTTCATTACAACTTATTCATCAGTACAGATGGCAAGACGGTATGCACCAGAGCCTCCTGGGTACAATATGCAAGTCCTAGTTGGAGTGTTTCCAACAGGATGTAAACCATGGTCCTCAAGCCTGTACTTTAAAAAACATATTACTTAGCACACTGCCAACAAATGTCAACATAAAAATACAGTGCTGTAATGACTTCACTCTGTAAAAGGAAAGTACTAGAGCATAAGTTTTTCCTAAGAAAAGTGAAAGAGTATACCAGTATAATCACAGCTCAAAAATATGAAACTATTTATTCAATAAGCAATGAAAAAACTTAAATACCAAAAAGAATTCAAATTCTTAATAAAAATAATATAGTATATTAAAATTGGAGAGAATTCTTAAAATGTACAACATGTACAGTAGCCAAAATCCTAGAAGTTCATGCAGAAAATTCTACAATTAGTGATTTGAGCATTTCAGTAACTCTGCAGTCTCTTCAAACCTGAAATATAATAAACAAATAATATATTAAGTAAACAAATAATTCATAATGAATCATAAGATATGTTGTTGAAATTATATTTTTGTGCCTAAAATACTTTTATGTATTTTATTTATAGGTAAAATTACAATTAATAAACATAAGCATACTATGGCCAGGGAGGAAGAAAAACAACTAAAGTCAAATATGAGCTTTTAATTCTTAGAGCTCAAGGCATGCTGATACTTTTCAAATTTCAAAATAATATTATAGCTTTTTAAAGTTGTATGCTGTGAAATAGTAATCAATAATTTTATTTTGTATTTTCTCTGAGTTTCTCTTTTAAATGTCAGTTACAATGCTATTGTTCCTAGATAAAAATACCACTTTTAGTATTATCTTATCAATAACTCAGTGAAAAGACTAGCAATGTTTTAACAATACTGAAAATTTCTTTAAATCACTCATCTACATTATTTAATATTTTGACAAACCAGTTATGAAAATAGACAATAGTCTTGATTAACTACCAACCAAACATATCTTTGCACTCTTTAATCCACAATTAATTCCATTAACAATGTTTTACATCACTTGCTGGAAACCAAAACAATGACTCATCTTACAAACATATAACTGTAGGTGGATTTATTATCCACTGGAGTCCTGAAGGAAATTCCACACCTGATTGAGAGACCTTTAAGGTTTGAAACACGCATGCACATTCTATATATACTGCAATCCAATACAATTCCCTACAGAGAAATGAATTTCTGTTGCCCCTTTCTGTTACTTACATTTTTTTCATCCTTTCCATTTTCTGGATTGTTGTTTCCTTTAATTTAAAAAGCAACAAATTTAGGCGATTTCTCAAAGTAAACCATCATCAAAGATGGACCATGAACATACAAAACATAGTCTGAAACATTGCATTAAGGACTGCTTACTTATCACAAAGAATTTTGGAGAGATTAAGATTTATATGGTTGCTCTATTTTTCTTACCAACGTATATACAACTAAAACCAAGGCTTGCTTATTCTGACCTCAGAGAGGAAATTATCTAAGCAATTGCCATATTTCTTACCTCTGAAAACTCTTTCAAACCACAGTAATTAACAGTCGAGGCTCTGGGAGTTGAATCTGATGATGCTGTACTATAACCAGAGGACAGAGGAATATTTGCTTGTCCTTCCATTTTGCTTTTTCTTTCTGTGAAGAAATTTTTAGGTTACCTTTTCCTTTCACAGCAGTGACAAATCTCTAAAAATTTTATTTACAAATGGAAGAAATTGTACTATTTTAATACAATATACCATTGATATAGATAAAAAGATGAGGTTTTGATATTCTTTATAAGAGAATAACCAACATTTAGAGATCTACAGGTCAAAAATGGACCCCAAAAATATTACAAAAATCCATATTATTTTTATCATGAATAAAAAGGAAAGAATAATTTATTTTTATGTTTCTACTGATGTATATTTTCTTGCAAAGGTGGATCAACTGAAATAATGAATGTCAATGAAATTTATCATTGATGTTTTTATTCAGCATTGTCTCAAGCATTTCACAATATTTTTAGTATTGTTCTATGGCAAGTGGAAGCTCTTACTAAAATTAACTATATATGCCTTTGCAAAAATCAAGAAACATCCCTTTTGAAGTTGTCACATACAGAAAAAAAACATAACAAAATTCAAGATCCACAAATTTATCTAAATAACTAAAAAAAAATTCAGATATCTTGATATTATTAATTTGACAAAATGATAGCCAATGTTTCCTATTAATTGCAGAGCATCACAGATAAGACATGTTTCTGTCAAACTAATTTTTTAAGCCCTATGTTTTTGTTAGAATACATTTGGCAGAAAAAATGATGGCAAACAAAAAACAATGATAATCACTTATACAGGTTTATATAATAGTTTTACTATAAGCTTACCCAGACCAGACAATCTCAGGGAACAAAGTAAAAGGGTATTTCAAAAAAGTTCATGAAAAAACAATAGAATTAATATATATGTAAAAAACTTTTGAAATCCATGCATAGTTTTCTCATAATCTGATTTTCATGAACTTTTGAAGACCCCTTCATATTAACACATATTGACTAAACAACTAGGAGACTTATCTGTCATGGAACCAACAGTCTCTTTTGCCTACTTTTCCTACCACCTGCTCCATGCCTGCTTTTCTATGTAGAATGGCTTTCTTTGCTTAATCATCAGCATGAACTTAAACTAACTGGCTAGCCGATCTCAGGCTCAATATCATTTGAGTGACTTACTGTTTATGGCCTAATTCCAAATTCTAAGAAAGAAAATCTAATTTGGCTCAACACCCTCAACACCCATAACCTTTGGATTGTTATTCCCTGGATTCCATGTCTACTCAATCTAATTAGCTGGGCCCAAGGTCAAGATCATGGTGCACCTCTGAAAAGTAGCCATTTCCAAATCTTTTAGTAGGACCTGGGACAATAAGTAATTTTAAGGAATAATTTGAAACAAGGCAAGAACTATATCTATTATGCAATAAATCTTGGATTACTTTCTAGGGCGTAGAGAAAGGTATTCTCTTTAGGACTGAATGTTTCTTGTGTCATTCCAAACAGAGGAGGAAGTCCTAGGACCAGGAACCAGGGCAGGGAAGAAAGAACAGAAGATGAAAGAATGGCTCATTTGGACCACTGTTTCTTTGAGCCTAGACTTTGAGGTATCCAGCCTTACTCAGGGGTGTGCTTCATAGTGGGAGAAAGCTGGCCGGTATTAGGCAGACTGGGAAGCTATTCAGAGCTACATCATATAGGGAAATCCAGAGGTTACAAAACTGCATCATATACAGAACACCAGCAATATTTAACAGTCTAATAAGTTAAGTGCCAATTATTTTCTGTGACAATTTTTCTTACTGCTTTCTTGAGCCGTTAGCAAAGTCTTACTTGTATAAACATAATAGTTTCCTAGTGGTGCTATGGGGGGATTGAGAAAACAGTTGGTAAAACAGTTCAGGTCAGAAAGAAAATTAGAATATGATGATTTCTGATGCCATGTTCCTGACACCATTCATTATGGAGTTTCAACAGTGGTTGCTAAGAGATTTCTGAATAAAAAGGATCTTCAAAAGAACAGAACACCAGATCTTCTAGGCAATTCTTGCCTCATGAACACTAATCTTTCACTGCCAACTCTAGAGGATTATCACTTTGTTCCATTCAGAGAGCCTATTTGGTTCTTCAAAGTTTAATAATTTCTAAGCCAGTACTTTCAAATAAAGGGCTAATGTGTTTTATTCAACCGATTTCTGAATATTTTGTCTTAATCACTTCATATACAATTTAATACAATTGAAAATGAACTAATTATTTTTCTAAAACCTTCTCCTGAATTGTCTATCCCAAAACTTCTCCTGTGTCTAGAATAGACAACTATCTATTCAACTACGTGAGCTAAACATAATAGTCAGTCTTGACTGTATCACCATCCTTCACCCCTTCTACTTAGATCAGAATCAATATTTATCCATTTTAACATATAAATGTCTCCCAAATAAACTACTAGCTCTTTTTTTCACTATCATTGCCTTGACAGAGATCCTCATTAGTATTCTGAAATAGTCATTACTGAAATATCCTTCAAATTATTTTTTAAATATTTTTTCAAACTATTGTCCTTATTTACTTTCCTCCAATAAATACTATTCTACTTTTCTGATGAACTTTCTCAAAGACATATTGAGAGTGTTAGCTCTTCTGAGATGAAAAAGAAACAAAACAAAGCAAACCAAATGAAGAACACAAATAACCCTGACAGTTGGTCTATCTGGTAATTAACACCTAAATTATTGTATCTCCTACTGAACATACATAATTTCACAGAAAATGTCACATGAGGTCATGAAACGAAAAAAAATCAAAGTAACACTGTCACCTCTGAACATAGACAAGACAGAAATAGATACTAAGTAACCAAAAAATACCCAGATATAGCCCACTTTCCATTAATCTTCCTTTTTCATTGAAAATTTAAGCCTACTTCACTTTTTTTAAAAGAAGATTTAGTTATACATTTGAAAGGCAGAATGAGAGAGAGAGAGAGAGAGAGAGAGAGAGAGAGAGAGAATCCTCCGTCCACTGGTTCATTTCTTAAATGACCTCAAAGCCAGGTCTGGTCCAGGCTGAAGACAGGAGTTTAGAACTCTATCCAGGTCTCCCACATAGGGGGCAGGGTTCAAGAACTTGGGCTATCTTCTGCTGCTTTCCCAAGTGCATTAGTAGGGAGATGGAATACAAGTGGAATAGCTGGGACACAAGCCAGCACTCCAATATGGAATACCAGCATCACCAAGTGGTGGCTCAACCCACCACAATACTGTTCCCCATTTCATTCATAATTATCAAATTGTTTCTGTTACCTGACAGAGCACAAATCAGAATGGTTCTCACTTCCTTAAACCCTCTCAAAAAAAAAAAATGTAATACAAGTCTAATCCTTAAAAGCTTCTAAACTCACTCTTAACAGGTCACTGAGATGCCTTACAGTTCCCCCATGGAACATTTTCTTTTTGGTACCATATAGGGAAAACAAATTTGCAACCTCACAGCCACCATCCCTGATTTACTACAATCCTAAGACCACAGTGTTGGATTAGTTCTCTGAACCCAGATGAAATCCACTTCTCAGCTTCCAAGAAGCATGTATATGTAAAGTGTGATATATAAGGCTTTATAAATCTGATACTTTATCTAGGTCAGAATATCAACTCCATGAGGCCAGGCATTCCTCTTACTCATAACTGCTAAGGTCTGGATACGGTTTGAGTGTGGCTTCCCAAAGGTTCATGTACTGGAAGCCTGGATCCTAGTGTGGTAGTGCTAAGGGAGTGGAACTTTTTAAGGTGGGGCCTAGTGAAAGGTAGTTAGGTTCCTGAAGTCATAGCTATTGGAAGGGGTTACTGCTGCTCTTCTGGAACTCAAGTTAGTTCCTACACGTGTGAATTACTATAAAAGGAGCAAGCCTGGCCTCTGAGTTTCTGGCTTCCTGTCTTGTAATGTGATCACTCTTGGGCTATGATGCCATCTGCCATGGTGTCCTCACAAGAGGCCAAACAGATGAGGCTGCCTGATCTTAGATTTGGCCTCCAAAACTGAGCTAAAAAAAACTTTTTTCTGTATAGAGAAAACTTTATAACTCAGCCTCAGAAATTTTGTTATAGCAAAAGAAAATGGTCTAAATCTATAATCCATTTCAGAGAGTGGTCTATCTGCACATTACTCTAAGTCCTAACACAGTGCTGCCTAAACTTGCCTGTATCTTCTAAACAGGTTAAAGGTATATTAATAATAATGTTATTTTAGAAAAATAAGCCTGAACATTCAAGACAAAATTTTAAAAGACAATATTTTGCAAATAGCAGGCATTCAGTATTTTTAAAGTGTAAATATCTGAGCTGTACTATATGCAGACACTGGATACTGGATATGGAAGTAGAGCTTTCTGTCTGCTAGACTGATTACAAGATAAAGTTTGTACTCTCAAGGATCTTAGGGTTGAACTTTGATATGTGTTGAATAAATGCATTAATGGCACATGGAAAAAAGCCATCATTTTACTAAATCTTAAATTTGCAGTCTATAATAAATTTATACATGAAGCAGTACCTCAAATAATTATAATAAACTAATAACTGAAAATGTTCAGTGTACAAAAAAATTGTCATGTGCACTAAGAGAAAATGTCAGAGCCAGTTTCCTGGATTCAAATCTACTGTGGCAACACCAGCATCACATTTTGGAGTATCAGTCTCTGTCCCATATGCTCCACTTCTGATCCAGGTCCTTGCCAAAGCACCTGGGAAAGCAGTGGAAGATGGCCCAAATGCTTGGGCCCCTGCCAGTGGAAGATCTGGATGGAGTTCTAGGCTCCTGGCTTTGAACTTGCCCAAGCCCAAGCCACCTCGGCCATTTATGGGATAAACTACTGCATTATTTAATAACTGAGTGACCCTGATATCATTACTTCATCTCACTGTACCTGTTTCCTCATCTATAAAATAAGGATAACAGTAGTACCTGTCATCCATGTTTGCTTTCAGAATTAAATGAGTGGCCAGCGCCACGGCTCACTAGGCTAATCCTCCACCTTGCGGCGCCGGCACACCGGGTTCTAGTCCCAGTCGGGGCGCCGGATTCTGTTCCGGTTGCCCCTCTTCCAGGACAGCTCTCTGCTGTGGCCCGGGAAGGCAGTGGAGGATGGCCCAAGTGCTTGGGCCCTGCATCCCATGGGAGACCAGGAGAGCACCTGGCTCCTGCCTTCGATCAGTGCGTGCGCCGGCCGCAGCGTGCTAGCCATGCGCACTGAGGTGACAACGCAAAAGAGACTTCTCTCTGTCTCTCTCATTCACTATCACTCTGCCTGTAAAAAAAAAAAAAAAAAAAAAAAAAAAAAGAATTAAATGAGTTAAAACAGTGTCAGACATATAGTGAGCACTATACTGTGTTCTTGTTGTTATCATTGTTAGATATGCAGTAGCTGAAAGATTCAATGTTAAATGTCTATAGATCTTAAAATTTAACTTCATGGTGAATTCTTAACTGGATACATTATCTCTTCTACAAATATGAATTCATACACATGGGATAAAATATAGACCTTTTCTTTTAGAAAAAAATCTAAAATTCTTTTAGAATCAAAAGAATAGAAGCTATTGCTAAATAAAAAACAAAAATTTTATCCTTGTTGTTCAGTCACAATGAAGATATTAGTAGCCTACATAAGTTAGGTAACGTGGAAATGCTCTATCCTAATTCTATATTTTTCTCATTTTTATCAATACCAGTAAACTGATCAAAATCAAGAGGTTTTCAATACTTTATAGGTTATTGACAAATGCATTTTCTTCTCTTACATGTATCATATTCTGATAAGAAAGCTACTTCTTCAGCTTAAATTAGGAACTCTAAAGATCTACTTCTATTTTAGAGCATTTTATTTTTCTAGAATGACTAAAAGAGTAAAATATATTTTAAAAGTTTCCAATTTTATTTTTTATTTTTTTAAAGATTTTACTTATTTATTTGAAAGGCAGAGTTGGAGAGACAGAGTATATCTTCCATCCACTGGTTCATTCCCAAGATGGCCACAACTTCCAGGGCTGGGTCAGGTCAAAACTAGGAGGCAGGAGCTTCTTTCAGGTCTCCCATGTGGATGACAGGGGAACAGGGACTTGGGCCACCCTTTGTTGTGTTCCTAGGAATATGAGCAAGGAGCTGAAATGCCATGAAGCAGCTGGGACTTGAACTGGTGCCCATATGAGATGCCAGTGCTGCAGGAGGCAACAGTTTAATCTGCTGCATCACAGCATTAGCCCCAAAAGTTTGTAATTTTAAATACATATTTTACCAAAAGTAAAATATGTAAGCTCATTTATTTACCAATCCTTGGCTGTAACATTCTGTAGGTTCAATATCTGCTTTGCTCTAGGATTTTTGAAGTTTCTAAAAAAGTAAGTCTTGAGAATATTAAAATGACTAACTACCCTTAAGAATGTTTTTTAATAACTGTGTTTTTGACCAATACTAGTGCCATTAAGAACTTACCAGGATTCAGAAACTCCATGTTACTGGTAGAAGCATAGTCCTCACTCACTTCATTAAATGCTACATAGTCATCATTCTGTAATAATATAAATATTTAGAATGATATTAAAAAAACTCATTTTACATGCTTATCTCCAGGTATAAAATAAATGTTTAAATTTTTTAATCATGTTGTTTATGAAGTAATACATAAATATTGTTATGTATAAGAAATAATCTTTTCAACGTAGAAGCAGATAATAAGCTCCCTGAATCTACCAACTTCACTCTGGTAAGGAAAGACAGACCAGAAATAGAAATTCAGCATAAGTGAAATAGATTTCTCAGACTTGATAAAGCAATGGCAAATTTGTTAATTATTTTTAGAATTCATAATAAGATTAAAATAAATGAGTAAAAAAAGAAAGTAAGGGTTATAATTTTAATTGTTTTCCCTCCTACAACTTTTCATTTTCTTCACCTTGTGAAAACAGGCCATTTGTACTTTTAAAAGATATAAAATGGGAGCAGGTGTTTAGTCTAGCAGTGAAGACACTAGGGAAGACATTTGTATCCACATCAGAGTACCTGGGTTTGATACTCAGCTCTGTTCCTGCCTCTAGCTTCTTGCTAATGCAGACCTTGGGAGGCAGCAGGCGATGGCCTAAGTAATTAGGTTTCTGCCAGATACATGGTAGACCTGGAATGAATTCCCAGCTCCAAGCTGCAGCTGCATTCTATCAGGTACTGACCGTTTAGCACATTTAGAGAGTGATCTAGCAGATGGAGTTAGTATTGGGGTGGGGTAGTGTGAGATGGTAGTGGTGGCGGTGGTGGTGGTGGGGTTTGTGTGTATGTCTTCGCCTCTCAAATATATACTTTTTAAAAGATACAAAAAATTTAAGATTTTCATAAAGTCAAACATATTATTCTTTCATTAAAGTACTGCCAAGTATTAACAGCTCTAAAAACTCAATAGCAATACATAAATATTCCTATAAATAAGAAATAATCTTTTAAATGTGGGAGCAGATAGTAAGTTGCTTGAATCTACCAACCTCACTCTCTAAGGAAAGATAGACAATACCTTTTCATACTATCTTATCTGACGAAGAGAAAAACAAGTAACAACAATACAGTCTAAACTTACACAGGATCTCATTCTAATAATTTTCTTATTACCTAAATAGTCTCATAATTGGCATTTCCAAAAGAATACACACATAATTAAAGGAAATACTTTATTGTGTATGAGATAGTCTATAAATGTAAAGGAAAGAAAATACCTTTTTTGATAAAAGCATTTCTGTTTCAAGAAGAGTAACACGACTTAGAAGATTAGTCCAGGTTTTTTCATTTACCATTACTTTTCCTTTCATTTTTTCTTCCAAACTGTCTAACCTTTTCTCTAAGAGAGTAAGTTTCGTAAGTTTTTCTTGGCATTCAGCAAGCATAGTCCGTAGCGCAATAATGTCGGGATTAACATTTATATCCTATAATTATTAGAGAGATTAAAAATAATGTTAAATAAACTGAAATTCCCTTAAAACTAATGTGTTCTTACTTAAACCGTGTTATTTCTAACCAGGAGAGGCTGTACAGCATTAGTCAAGAGTGCTATCTGTGAATAGGCCTCCACATCTCTATTTCCTCATCAAAACAAAACCACGACAAGTGATAACAGAAGCACTTATTTCATATGGTTTTATAAGGGGTAATTTATATAATGCTTTTAAATAACACTAGGTAATACAATAAAACTGTCACTAACTAGCTTCTTGTAGTAACAGCACAAAGCTAAGACCAAAATGATACTTAGTACACGGAGATTGTTCAGTGTGCCTTTTGACAGCAAATAAGACCAGTAGCTATCTGGGATTCTTATAAATGCCAATTGTACACTGAAATGCATAGGGGTCACAAGACAGAGAGGATAGAAAAAGAAGGTTTATCAGAAACAATGGTAATGGCATACAAGTATTACAGGGTCTCTGGTAATAAAGAATAGGAGAAATAGTATTCTAAAACAAAGGAAAGGACAACAAGGACTCAGAAAAGAACATGAAAAGCTATGAAGTACCAATTCTTTTCATTGCCAATACAAGAAATAGATAGGAGAGAACCTTCACTGTGCAAAGTAGCATATCTATAGAGTACTACATTTTAAATTTCTTAACTTATCCCAGTGCCCTAAACAGAAGAAGTAAATAGTATCTGTTGAATTATATTCAGTAAGACTCACTGATTCTTTAATAATGGTAACTTAGGTAATATGTCACGGTTAACAACTCAAAAGGCTAAAAATATTCCAAAGTCTCTATGATAAAATAAATAATCATGTATATCAAATACTAGCATCTGTTTAAGAAGTCCAAAATTCTTACCTGTTGCTCAGCCTTGATTTCAGGGATCTTTACTTCAGGAATACTTATTTCAGTAGTCTTTAAGTCACTCAAATCAAATGCTTCATTAACATCTGTTACTGTAGTTGTTATATCTTCAGGAATTTGAACATTATCTTCATCATACAGATGACGGATCACCACAGCTTTCTTCTGCATAAAAATACATACAGAATGCTTCCATGTTTTATTTCCACAATTATTTTAAACATACAACGTAATTTTGCCAAGGAGTACTCCGAATTTCCTTTAAAGACATAAATCACACATAATGTACAGATAAAAATGTTATAAACTATTTTTTAAAAGATTTAGTTTATTTATTTGAAAGGCAGAGTTACAGAGAGAGAGGGAGAGAAAGAAAGATCTTCATCCACTGATTCACTTCCCAAATGGCTGCAACAACTGGGGCTGGGCCAGGCCAAAGCCAGGAGCCAGGTGCATGCTTTATCCGTGTCTCCCAACCGGATGCAGGTACCCCAGGACTTGGGCCATCTTCTGCTGCTTTTCCCAGGCATATCAGCAGGGAGTTGGATTGGAAGTGGAGCAGTCAAGACTCAAATCAGCACCCACATGGAATTCCAGCGTTGCAGGCATCAGTTTAACCCACTATGCTGACCCCCACTATTAACAGTAAAACCCTTATGCATGATAACAAACTTGTGATTTTTGCTTTTGAAAACACTGTGATATTTTAGAAAAATACTGTCATATTTGTTTAATGATGTCTGAGACTTGTTTCAACATATTCAGTTTGTGGGGAGAGGAATGTTGGGGAAAATGGTTGCAATGAAGATGAAACCAGATTAGCAGAGCTGATAAATTGTTGAATATGAATGTCACTTTTTTTAAATGATTGAAATATTCCATAATCAAAGGTTATTTTTAAAAAGGTTGGACATAATACACATACAAATCATCAAGAACTAGCTCTATGAGTAGCACTCATGACGATTTTTTTTATTGAACAACATATTAGACCTTCAAGCAACAATCTAAATAAAGACAAAAGGAAAGTCATTGCAAAAAAGAACTGATCAAACTATGCAGTTAAACAGGACTTTTCTACAAACAGCATGTACATGCACTTTATAGACTTAACTAATTGCAGGTATTTGATTTAGTGGTTAAGATGCTGGCATGCCTGAGTTCCAGTTCAGATCTGCTTTTAATTCCATCTCCCTGTTAATGTACACCCTAGGGCAACAGCTGAGGGCTCATCTGAATTGCATTCAAAGTTCCTACTTCAGGACTTCAGCCTGACCCAGCCTTGGCTGCTGCAGTCATTTAGGAAGCAGACCAGCAGATAAGAACTCTTGATCTCTGTATCTGTGTCTCCTCTTCAAATAAAACTAACTGAATAAATAAGCAGTTTGGGTCAAACCTTAACAAAACCAAAGGCAGCAGGTTAAGCCACCACTTGTGATGACAGCAACCCACATGAGCACCATTCAAGTTGTGGATGCTCCACTTCTGATCCTGCTCCCTGCTAATGTGCCTAGAAAAGCAGCTGAAGATGGCACAAGTATTGGGCCCTGCTACCCATGCAGGAGACCTGGAAGAAGCTCCTGGCTTCCAGCTTCAGCACAGCCAGGCCACACCATTTGCAGCCGGGCCAGGTCGTTGCAGCCATTTGAGGGAGTGAACCAGAGAATAGAAGAGCTCTCTGTCTCCACCTCTCTCTCTCTCTGTAATGCTGCCTTTCAAAACAAATAAATCTAAAAAAAACAGAAACAGTTAACATGTGACACAGAAATTATAAATAGCATAATACATGAGGTACTAGGAAAGGAGACAATTTATTTTAGTATTGACTCAACTCTCATTTATGAACAAAGGTAAAATAAAAACCTTCCATAAGAAACAGAAATTGAAAGAACTTGTAAGTACCTGCACAGCCCTATAAAAGATATTCAACAATGTGCTACACACAGAAACACAGAACATCACTATGAAAGAAGGTGAAGACAGAAAAATGCCCAGTAAAAACACAAAGGAAACTCAAAATGAAAAATAGGACTATTAACAGAAATATGGCAGGGCAAATTCATCACTTAATAGTCACCTTGAATATAAATGTCCTCAACTCTCCAGAGAAAAAACATAGACTGGCTGAATGGATTAAAAAAGAAAACTCAACTATTCATTGTCTACAAGAAACACATCTCATCAAGAAAGATGCATGCAGACTGATGGTGAAAAAAATGGAAAAAGATATTCCATGCCAACAGAAACCATACAAGAGCTGGTATAGCCATATTAATAATTACCCAAAATAGACTTCAACACAAAACTGGTAAGAGACAAAGAAGGGCACTATATAATGATTAAAGATCACTCACAGGAGATGTACTATATAACTTATATGCCTCATTATAGAGCACCTGGCTATTGAAAAGAAATATTCAGTGATCTAAAGGGAGACATACACTAAAATACAATAGTAATGGAGGATTTCAACACCCCACTTTCAGCAATGGAAATATTTGATAAAATACAATACCCTTTCATGATGAAAACTCTAAGCAAACCGGGTATAGAAGGAACATTCCTCAACTCAATTAAGGGAATTTATGACAAACCCATGGCCACTTATTGAATGGGAAAAAGTTGGAAGCATTCCCACTGAATCCACAACCAGGCAAGGGTGTTCACTCTTACCACTGCTATTCAATATAGTCCTGGAAGTTCTAGCCAGAGCCATTAGGCAATAATAAGAAATCAAAGGGATACAAATCAGGAAGGAACAAGTCAAACTACCCCTGTTTACAGATGGCATGATTTTATACATAGGGGACCCAAAAGACTCCACACTAACAGATAATTGGAACTCACAGAGGAGTTTGGTAAAGTATCAGGATATAAAATCAACACACAAAAATCAACAGCCTGTGTGTATACAGACAATGCCACAGCTGAGAAAGAACTTCTAAGATTAATCACATTTACAACAGCTACCAAAAAAATCCAATGCCTTGGAATAAGTTTAACCAAGGATATCAAAGATCTCCTCAATGAACATTACAAAACATTAAAGAAATAAATGGAATAAGATACAAAAAAATGGAAAAATCTTCCATGTTAATGCATTGGAAGAATCAATATTATCAAAATGTCCACACTACTGAAAGCACTTTAAAGATTCAATACAATACCAATAAAAATGCCAAAGATATTCTTCTCAGACAAGGAAAAAAATGATGTTGAAATTCACATGGAAAAACAGGAGACCCCAAATGGCTAAAGCAATCTTATATAACAAAAACAAAGCCAGAGACATCATAATACCAGACTTCAAAACAAACTACAAGGCAATTATAATCAAAACAGCCAGGTACTGGTACAAAAACAGATGGATAGACCAATGGAATGGAATAGAAATGCCAGAAATCAATCCAAGCATCAAAAACTGTCACTTCCCTTCTTCGTGGAGGAACGACACAGGACCCTGCGCTGTTCTTTCGTCTGCTTGGCCCTCCCCGGGTTTGCTGCTGGTTCTTCCCGGGTTGGCTACCGTCCCTTCCACCTCCGTGGAAGGGCGGTTCCCCCTGCCACTTTTCCCCACTTCCGCGGGGGAGCGGCACACCGCCGACCGGCTCTCTCGGGGGCTGCTCAGGTGTTCCTTCAGATAGATGTTCCTCGTGCATGTTGTCTCTCTCCTCCTTTATAGTCCTCTTCCACCAATCCCAACTCTGCTACCCACACGCCGAGTACGCTGCTCTCCTCCAATCAGGAGCAGGTCCTACAGTTTGTCAAGTTGGTGAAAGGCAGCTGGGTAGAAGCTGTTTGCTCCTCTCCCAGCGCCATATTGTGGGAGAGCAGATGCATAGAATAAGTCTTAATTCCAGTAACTTAGTCTAGTCTGAGTTGCTCCCAGTTGCTCCCCACAGATCCCCCTTTCTTCTTATTTTTGCCGTTGATACGCACCTGTCTTCGGTGTCCCGCGGCACACACTCTGCTCTGCTTGCTAGAGTTGCCCACAGGTGCTTACAAGCCCTATCAATCAGGCAAACCGAATCCGGGTCCTCTCTTCACCATGTTGTGAGGAGGTTTTTAGGCGCTGATACGTGCCTGTGTTCGGTGCCCTGCAGCGCATGCTCTGCTCTGCTAGAACTGCCTGCAGGTGCTTACAAGCCCTATCAATCAGGCAAACCGAATCCAAGCCTTCTCATTGCCATATTGTGGGGAGACTTATTGGTGTTGATTCGTGCCTATCTTCGGTGACCTGCAGCTCATACTCTGGTCGAGCTGCCTACTGGTGCTTATCGCCTTGCTAATCAGGCAGACCGAATCCAAGCCTTCTCACTGCGGTATTGTGGGGAGACTTATTGATGTTAATTTGTGCCTGTCTTCGGTGACCTGCGGCGCATAAGCTGCTAGCCGCCCGCAGGTGCTCACCACCTCCCTAATCAGGCAGACTGAATCCAAGCTCTCTCATTGCCACGTTGAGGGGAGGCCTTTCTCTATTTCTCTATCTCCGGGCATTCCTATTTCTCCTATTTTACTTCTATCTACCAGCATTCCTATTTCTCTCATTTTACTTCTAGACTTCTGTTTCTCTTATCCCTGCGGCTTCCCGGCGCCCGCCCTGAGGCTGCTTCTCGGCGGCTTCCCGGCTCTGAGCCGCTTCAGCCCGCGCTTCTCTCATCTGCGCGGCTTCCCGGCTTCGTGCGCGCACTCCGCGGTCTCCGCGCCCCTTCGCGTCCGCACCACGGCCTCGCGCTAGCCCCAGGTTCCCTATCTACTTGTGCCCCGCGCGCTCTCTCTGTGCGCGGCGGCTTCCACAAGTCACACAGCACAGCTCACGTTTCCGCCACCGGTATTCAGTCCAAGTTCCCCGGGCTAACCTGGCGAATTCAACCCAGCTCACGTCTGCGCCCTTCGGCTTGGCTTCCCGTCCTTTGCTCCCCGGGCTAATCTGACGGATTCCAACCTGGCGGCCCACGTCTCTGTTTCTGGTTCCAGATTTTCGCCTTTTGCTCCCCGGGCTGTCTTGAAGAATCCCAAGATAGCTTACATCTCCGCTTCAGCCTGCACTCGCGGCTTCATCCTCCCTAACATATTTTTCTCTACCCGGTATGTTTCCCTAACTTTTCTTCCAACAACAATATTCCCCTCTCATTTCTCCTGGCCTCTCCCCACAGTCCGTATCCAAGTCTAAGTTTCTTCTAGGTTTCACTTTCACTTTCAATCTCCTAGCTTCCCCGCCATAGTCCGCATCCGAGTCTATGAAAGCTTTCACTTTCGCTTTCAATCCTAACGTCCAATCCTAACTTCTTTCCCACAGTCCGTATCCGAGTCTATGCCTAGGCTTTCAATAGCTTCTTCCGGCACCTTTTCCGTCCGGCTTTTCCCTAGGCTCTTTGCTAGTCTCTCTCTCCGGTATTTTCCCACTTCTTCCCGTTTCTTCCCTCCTAGGTTCCCTATCTGAGTCACGGCACCATTATGTCGCTCCCCGTCTTCGTGGAGGAACGACACAGGACCCTGCGCTGTTCTTTTGTCTGCTCGGCCCTCCCTGGGTTTGCTGCTGGTTCTTCCCGGGTTGGCTACCATCCCTTCCACCTCCGTGGAAGGGCGGTTCCCCCTGCCACTTTTCCCCACTTCCGCGGGGGAGCGGCACACCGCCGACCGGCTCTCTCGGGGGCTGCTCAGGTGTTCCTTCAGATAGATGTTCCTCGTGCATGTTGTCTCTCTCCTCCTTTATAGTCCTCTTCCACCAATCCCAACTCTGCTACCCACACGCCGAGTACGCTGCTCTCCTCCAATCAGGAGTAGGTCCTATAGTTTATTGGTTGAACTGGAGGCAGCTGGGTAGAAGCTGTTTGCTCCTCTCCCAGCGCCATATTGTGGGAGAGCAGATGCATAGAATAAGTCTTAATTCCAGTAACTTAGTCTAGTCCGAGTTGCTCCCAGTTGCTCCCCACAAAAAACAAACTTATCTTTGATGAAGGACCTAAAATCAACCCTTGGAGCAGAACAGTCTCTTCAACAAATGGTGCCGGGAAAACGATTTCCACATGCAGAAGTATGAAGCAAGACCCCTACCTTTCACAAAAATCCACTCAAAATGCATTAAAGACCTAAATCTGTGACTTGACACCATCAAATTATTAGAGAACATTGGGTAAACCCTACAAGTCACTAGTACAGGCAAAGAGTTCCTGGAAAAGACCCCACAAACACAGGCAATCTAAGCCAAAATTGACAAACGGGATTACATTAAATTGAGAAGCTTCTGTACCGCAAAAGAAACAATCAGCAAGGTGAAAAGACAACTGACAGAATGGGAGAAAATATCTTCAAAGGATACAACTGATAATGGATTAATAAACAGAATATATAAAGGGATCAAGAAACTCAACAACAACAAAATAATCAACCAAGTGAAGAAATGGGCAAAGAACTTAGACATTTTTCAAAAGAGGAAATCCAAATGGCCAACAGACACATGAAAAAATGCTCAGGATCACTAGCTGTCAGGGAAATGCAAATCAAAACCACAATGAGGTTTCACCTCACCCCAGTTAGAATGGCTTCCATACAGAAATCCACAAATAACAAATGTTGGCGAGGATGTGGGGTAAAAGGTACCCTAATCTACTTTTGATGGTAATGTAAACTGGTAAAGCCACTATGGAGGACTGTGTGGAAATACCTCAGAAATCTGAATATAGACCTACCATATGACCCAGCCATCCCACTCCTAGGAATTTACCCAAGGGAAATGAAATCAGCATATGAAAGAGTTATCTGTACCTCCATGTTTATTGCAGCTCAATTCAAAATAGATAAGATATAGAATCAACCCAAATGCCCATCAACTGAAGACTAGATAAAGAAATTATGGGATATGTACACCAAGGAATACTACACAGCAATTAAAAAAAATGAAATCTGGTCATTTGCAACAAAATGGATGAATCTGGAAAACTTCATGCTTAGTGAAATAAGGCAGTGCCAAAGGGACAAATATCGTATGTTCTCCATGACCTGTGATAACTAATAGAGCACCTAAAAGGCAATCTGTAGAACTGAAACTGACACTTTGAACAGCCCTTGTCTTCTCTCTTCTCTGTTGAGGAACAGTCTTTTTTTTTTTTCCCATACTATTCGTTGATCCTTTTACTTAACATACAGTTAGTCATATGTGTATAAGGTTAATTGAAAATAGGATTTAGTCAAAGATAAGAGTGAAAATAAGAGAGGGAGGGGGAAGAAGGGTAGGAGTATGGGTAGGAGGGTGGAGATGGTAGGAAGAATCACATGTTCCTAAAGTTGCAATTATGACGTGTATGAAGTTTCTAACTGTAAAGCTGTATCATTCTGTATACATTCCTATGGACTTACTTCTAAGGGTACAGTTTAAAAACTTGCCATGGGACCCCAAATCCCCTTAAGCTAGGTGATAAAAAAGTGTTAAAGTGATCATATAAATAGGAATAAGTACCTGTTAATAATAATAGACAGAATTAAAAAGGAGTGACTGTTCCAACATGGGAAGCAGTCCATAGAGCAGACTCACAGAATTACAATTGCTTTAAGTAGCATTCTGACCTCAGCATCAGCCCTTAAGGTATTCTGTTCTGGCTGAAAAGCCCACGAGAGCATTTCATGCATGAAAATCCAAGACACTGTGGCAAAATATGTCCTACATGAGGATCTCCATGGATGAGACCACAGTGGAAAGAAGTGGTTGTCAAACAAGGATATACGTTTTTCTGAAGGTAGGAGAGAACTTTCACTTTGCTAATGGCCTTGTCTAAATACTGACGGAGTTTGTGAACTCAAAAGACATTCATAGCCTAGGCAGCTCATTCAAGATTCATAAGTGATCACTGACATCAAACATAATAAGATAATTATTAACTTAACAATAGGAATCATTCTGCACTAACTTCCCATGTAGGACCTCTGTCCTCAAAGAGTTGTATTATGAGAATTAACAGTAAAACTTATTCTCTAAGATTTATTTAATTTTAGTGTATTAAGTGGAGGACATTCTTATGTTTCTTAAGTTTTAGTTACGCCTAAAGATCCACTCCATTGTTTGCTTTCTTGGGTGCCTCCCAAGAAAATTAATTATAATTAATGATAAAACTTGCTCTCAAGGATTTATTTTATTTAATGTATTAAATGGATGATATGCATACATCTCATAAGTTATAGTTATGTCTAAATACTCGCAAAAGATGTATCATTCTTACGTGCTTCATTGAAGTTAATTAAGTTTCTCAAAAAAAAAAGTGAAATTAACTTCGAGATGTAGTATCTATGAACAGCCCTTGTCTCGACTTCTGAGGGACAGTTTTTGTTTCTTTTTTTATGCAAATTGTTGAACTTTACTTAGTATAGAGTTGGTCTTCTGTGTATAAAGTTTATTGAAAATGGATACCAGTGGAAAATGGGACTGGGAATGGGAGAGAAAGGGACAAGAGAGGTAGGAGTGCAGGTAGGAGGGTGGGTATGGTGGGAAGAATCACAATAGAGTTGTACTTATGAAATACATCAAGTTTGTGTTCCTTAAATAAAAAGTCTCTTTGAGAAAAAATAAATTAATTAAAAAAAAAAAAAGTGGAGCAGCTTGGACTCAAATAGGCACCTGTATGGGATGCCGGCATGGTAGGCGGCAGCTTTACCTGCTATGTCACAGTGCTGGCCCCAATAGTGCTATAGTAAAACATTTGTTTTCAGGGCCAGTATTGCAGCATGGTATAGTGGGTTAAGCAAATGCCTGCGATGCCAGCATCCTATGTGGGTACTGGTTGGAGACCTGGCTGCTCCACTTCCAATCCAGCTCCCTGCTAACGCACCCGGGAAAACAGTAGAAGATGATCCAAGTGCTTGGTCCCCTGCACCCACAGGGGAGACCTAGATGAAGTTCCTAGCCCCTGGCTTCAGTCTAGCCCAGCCCTGGCCATTGCAGCCATTTGGTGGTGAACCAGGAAATGGAAGACCTCTCATTCTATCTCTCCTTCTCTCTCTCTGTAACTCTGCTTTTCAAATAAATAAATAAAAGCAAGCTTTAAAAATCTTTCATTTTAATTCAATCAGTGTCCATCTTGCTCACCGCATTTATAATAACCACCCAAAGATTTCCATCCTCCTGGTATAAATCTTTTTGTCTTCCCTCTTAGTTTCACCTTTAACAGTGTTTTCTTTATTTTTCTTATTTATTAATAATCATTTAAAAATTCCAACCTTCCTGGGATGAGTTCTTTGACTCTTCCTTTTGCTTTTCTCTATTTTCTTTTTAATTAACATAATTATTTTATTTGCATTTGTAAGATCCATAATGACAGGCCAGCGTTGTGGCATAGTAGGTAAGGTCACTGCCTGCAGTGCTGGCATCCCATACAGGTGCCAGTTGGAGTCTCGGCTGCTCCACTTTCAATCTGGCTCTCTGTTATGGCCTGGGAAAGCAGCAGAAGATGGCCCAACTGCTTGGGTCCCTGCACCTACATGGGAGTCCCAGAAGAAGCTCCTGGCTCCTGGTTCCTGGCTTCAGATTGGCCCAGCTCTGGCCATTGCAGCCATCTGGGGAGTGAACTGGTGGATGGAAGACCTCTCTCTCTCTCTGCTTCTGCCTCTCTGTAACTCTGCCTTACAAATAAATAAATCTTTAAAAAAAGGGAATCCTAACATGTTAATGTCTGACTAGAAAGTTTCAATATATTCTAGAGAAGTGATAATTATATATTAGATTAACAACATAGATAACTTTAAAGAATACATAAAACACATTTTCTTTGTATTTTCATACCTTTCCTGAAGTCAGAAACCTGCCAGTAATGTCAATGCCAACAGGTTCTTCAGATGTTTTCTCACCGCTTAAAGAGGGTTCTGACTTACTATAACCGATTTTCTTTCTTTGTTGTGATGGAGTCTTAAAAAACAAAGTTATTAGACATAGTAACAAATTTTGTGTGAAAGTATTATATACATTTGACTATCATTTAAATTCTTTTTTATGAAATATAACTGACAAATAATAAAACTATATTTTAAAAAACATATTTTTATTGATTTTTTTATTCAAAGAGAGAGAAAGAGACAGCAACAGACTGACAGAGATCTCCCATGTGCTGGTTCACTACCCAAAAGCCTGCTATAATCATGGTTGGGCAGACCAAAGCCAAGAGCTCAGAACTCAATCCAAGTCTCCCACGTAGGTAGCAAGGACCCAAGTACTTGAGCCATCACCTGCTGCTTCACAGAGTGTGCATTAGCAGGAAGCTAAAATCAGAAGCTGAGCCAAGAATTTACCCCAGGAATTGTGATACAGGATGCAGAAGTCCCCAGTGGCATCTTAACTACCATGCCAAATGTCCTCCAAACTATGTATCATTTAAAAATTAAGAAATGGGACTGGCACTGTGACATAGTGGGTAAGGCCGCCGCCTGCAGTGCCAGCAACTCATATGGGCGCCAGTTCAAGTCCCAGCTGCTCCACTTCCAGCCTAGCTCTCTGCTATGGCCTGAGAAAGCAGTAGAAGATGGCCCAAGTCCTTGGGCCCCTGCCTGTGTGGGAGTCCAGTACAAAGCTCCTAGCTCCTGGCTTCAGATCAGCACAACTCCGGCCACTGCAGCCAACTGGGGAATGAACCAGATGGAAGACCTCTCTCTCTCTGTCTCTCTCTCTTCCTTTGTTTCTCTGTAACTCTTTCAAATAAACAAATAAATCTTTAAAAAAAATTTAAGAAATTATGAGAATGTATTATTTTGGGGTTAGTACTGTGGTGTAGTGGCTAAAGCTGCTGCCTACAGCGCTGGTATCCCATAGAGGCTCCTGTTCAAGACCTGGGTGCTCTATTTCCAATCCAGCTCCCTGCTAATGCACCCGGGAAAGCAGTGGAAGACAGCCCAAGACCTTGGGCCCCTGCAACCACATGGCAGTCCCAGAAGAAGTTCCTGGCTCCTGGCTTTGGACTGGTATAGCTCCAGTCATTCCTGCCATTTGAGGAGTGAACCAGCAGATGAAAGATCTCATTCTCTTCTCTCTGCTTCTCCCTCTCTGTAACTCCACCTTTCAAATAAATAAATAAATAAATAAATCTTTTTGGAAAAATGTACTATGTTTGAACTGTTAGTTTAGGACTAGCATTTCAAGTCATAGATATGTAAAAATAGATGACTAAAACACTAACAATCTTTATAAGGTTACCTAAATCTGAATAATGCAGTAATTGTACTATATAGTAATTTGCTACCTAGGATATTAATTTTATATACTAATACAGTAGCCACTTAGCATAAGTTAGCATTCAAACATATTCATAGGGGCCAGAGCTGTGGTGCAGCAGGTTAAAGCCCTGGCCTGCAGTGCTAGCATCCCATATGGGCGCCAGTTTCAGTCCCGGCTGCTTTACTTCTGATCCAGCTCTCTGCTATGGCCTAGGAAAGGAGTGGGGGACAGCCCAAGTCCTTGGGCATCTGCACCCATGTGGGAGACCTGGAAGAAGCTCCTGGCTCCTGGCTTCCGAGCAGCTCAACTCAGGCCGTTGCAACCATTTGGGCAGTGAACCAGCGAATGGAAGTGAACCAGCAAATCTCTCTCTGGTTCTGCTTCTCTCTGTAACTCTGTCTTTCAAATAAATAAAATAAATCTTTTTAAAAAAGCCTATTTATAAAATTACCTTCTCCAAACCACTCAATTCCTTGTGCTTTTTCATAACAAAATTCAAAATATCACAAATAATTTGGATTTTCCATTCTGCAAATCCACATTGGGTAAATTGCTTTTTTGTCAGAATTGGTTTATAATTAAATTGATCACGAAGAAGCTGTAAAGAGGAAAGAAATACATGTAATAATTAGGAGCCTTTTGTTTCTAAAGTCCAAGGCAATAAATAGTCAACTGGTCAAGAGAGTAATGGCTACCTTTAAGAGGAGAGGAGTATCAAGTCATTAACTAAAGGTTACTAAGAGATTTATAATGCTGGTTTGAGACTTAACCAGGTAGGAGAGGTATCCAGGTGGAAAACAGGTAGCTAAGGATGTTCCAGAGAAGAGATGGCTGTCCAGAGAGATGGAAACATAACAGTCAATCATCAAAAAATGAAAGATCCACATAGTTACTATAAAAACTCATTTGCTCAATAGAATATGATACCTCACGTCAGAAAATCATAATTTTGTTTATAATTATTCCATTACATAAGTTTTAGATGAGTCAGCAAGTTCTTCAGTCTCACGTTCTCATTTGTAAACAGAAATACTAGCTTCTACTAGTTTCAAAAATTTATAGTTTGGAAACCTAGGGTTTCTTAGTAGTGCCATTTTGGCTCCCATAGAAGCCTTTTAGGACCAGAAATAAAGTGCAGGAAGATTTACTAGAGACTCCACATATAACAGCTCTCATTTCATCAAATGCATTTAGATTAGATAAGCAGTCTTTATCATTAAAAAAAAGAAAATAGTCCCCTGAATAATACCATATACAACACAAGTACCCTTCTATCCCTACATTATGATCACTGCCATGAATCCCATATTTTGTGATATAAGCATCCCTGTTTTCAAAAAAATTCAGTTTATATATGCATGCATCTTAATATGCCAAAATGTTGAAAATTTCAAATTTTAAAATTAAAAAATAAATTCATGAAAAAACTATAGATCCTATGATTAACACTGATTTTTTTAAAAATGCAGATATGAAATTACATTCAGTATCTATAACACACAGGACTTACAAAGGTAAATAAATGGCATGGTCTGAGACCTCAAAGAACACATATCTCAAGGTTTCTGTTCCTTCTTAAAATGTAGTTAACTCATAATTCAATGAACTACAATTTTCACTAAATATAATCACATTTCTTCCTAACTCATGCCACTATACAAAATTTACTAAAATTTGATAGAAAAGGAACAAATGACAGCCAATGACAAATGTTTACCAGTTGCTGTATTTTTAGAGTAAGAAACATTCACTGAATAAAGTTGAACTGCATCTTGACTTCACTAGGAACTACACTAAAATGAGATAAATGCACATGAAAATATTCTGTCAACTACATGCTGCATATACAGTCATGCACTGCATAATGCTATATGGGTTAAGTAAAGACCATAAATATGATGGACCACATATATGAAGGTGGCCCTATAAGACAGTCATGAAGCAGAAAAGTTCCACTGTCTAGCATTTTTACTGTACCTTTTCTATGCTTAAACACACAAATACATTGCTTTACAAATGTCTACAGTACTCACTACAGTACATACTATATAGGTTTGTAGCCTAAAAGCAACAGATTATACTATTCAGCCCAGGTGTGCAGTAGGTTACACCTTCCAGGTTTATATAAGTGTACTATATCATGCTCAATGTGAAAATTGCCCAATGACACATTACTCAAAAATGTATCCCTATTGTTAAGCAATGCATGCCTGTATTTAAAGAGATATTACTAAAACACTGATTTTTAAAAATCACTCAATAACTTCTAAAATATTTATTGTGTTATAAACTCAAAATACCTTATAGATAGTATCTATAAAGCGCAAGTCATTCTTTGCTACGAGCTCTGTATTAGATTCCATCAGGAGTTCGGCTACATAAGGTGAATATGAGGTAAGCGAATAGCTGATGATAGGCAAAGATGCTGCTGTTTCTCCTTTTATCAAACTGTTAGGGAAAAAGAAGAAGACTTTGAATGAGTATAATTCCACAAAGTTGGAAAATCAAGGAAGTATAAGAAATGCTGTCAGTAATTTTTAAGTTAACATTACAGCCATAATAATTAGGTAATGCATGACCCTCTAGATTTCATCACCCACTCTAAGCCAGCCTAGCCAAATTATGAAACACTACTGCTTCACTGTTCTAAAGCTTATTATAGTTCTCTAATATCAATAGTCTATTTACCAGAATACTTATTGATTATCTAAAATTTAATCTAACTCAATTTACTCCATTTTCTCCTACTAATAGAATAAATGTTCTAACTTGCAGCACTCAAGTACACTTCATGGTTTTGCAAAAACTTGTTATAATATCTCACTTGCTTTCTAGCACAAACTTGCAAAGGTAAATATTACAAATTCAAGTTACACATGAAGACAGGCAGACTGGAAAAAGCATGTATCATCATGAGACTAAGCAATTTACCCCAAGTATCTTCCACCTACTGATCATTTCAAATTTGTACCTTCTTGGCTATACTAATTCCTCCCATTTAGAAAGATGTCTAATTATTTTTTGCTGAACTACTACTTATTCTTTATTAAGCATCTGTCAAATCTTAAGCCTTCTATTAGGCCCTCATGATGATTCTAATCCATATTTATCTCTCAAGAGAATGACTCCCAGGAAACTCCCTATCTGTTGCCTCTGTCTTATAGTGTTTTGTGTCTATTTATTTTCTCAATGTGAAATACATTCACTAATTGTCCCTCCTCAAAGCACAGGAGGCATTTCTTCAATTAGCCACTTATATTTGTTCAACTGAAGTAATACTGTACTTACGTAAAACATACGCAAATACATTTTCTATAAAACTCAAGACATGTACATAAATCCATCCTTCCCAAATTTTTAATAAGACAGACAAAAAATGTATGATTATAACACTGTATTTTTCTTTCATGACAAATTTAAATTGCTTCCTCTTTCTGTTTCTTTATAGGCACAGTATTTTGCCTAATGAGAAAACTGCCCTGGCAACCTCAGCTATTTGAAATACAGGCCCCAAATAGAAATTTAAAAAAAATGCTTTCAAACAGCAAAATCTGTATTTTATGCATAATAACAGATGAGGGCTGGTGCTGTGGTATAGCGGCTAAAGCCACAGTACCAGCATCCCATGTGGGTTCTGGTTCCAGTTCCAGCTGCTCCACTTCCAATCCAGCTCTCTTCCATGGTCTGGGAAAGCAATGGAAAATGGCCCAAATCCTTTGGCCCCTGCACCCATGTTGGAGACCCAGAAGAAACTCCTTGCTCATGGCTTCAGATCCCACAGCTCTGGCCATTGTGGCCATGTGGAGAGTGAACCAGTGGTTGGAAGACCCCACCTCCCTACCTCTGCCTCTCTGTAACTCTGCCTTACAAATAAATAAAAAAAAATCCTTTACAAAAAAAAAAAGAAAAGAACAGATGACAGCCAGGCCTATTAACATTCCTTATGTGAAACAACCTTAAAAACTTTTGTTGTATAGTTTCTAAGAACTTAGTTCATTAGAAACAGTAAGAAAAAGAGCAAATGACAAGAAAAACTTTAAGATGTGAAAAAGGCGAAAGAATCAAAACTTGGAGCTAGATTGGGGGCATTGTGTATATACTTGTATGTATGTGACAGAAGTGGATAATCTGAGTCTCTTTGTGGAAGAAGCAAGTAACATTATCTCAATAGATCCAGAAGATAATACTATGTTGTAAAATAACCTGAACGGCCGGCGCCGCGGCTCACTAGGCTAATCCTCCGCCTAGCGGCGCCGGCACACCGGGTTCTAGTCCCGGTCGGGGCGCCGGATTCTGTCCCGGTTGCCCCTCTTCCAGGCCAGCCCTCTGCTGTGGCCAGGGAGTGCAGTGGAGGATGGCCCAGGTGCTTGGGCCCTGCACCCCATGGGAGACCAGGAAAAGCACCTGGCTCCTGGCTCCTGCCATCGGATCAGCGTGGTGCGCCGGCCGCAGCGCGCCGGCCGCGGCGGCCATTGGAGGGTGAACCAACGGCAAAGGAAGACCTTTCTCTCTGTCTCTCTCTCTCACTGTCCACTCTGCCTGTCAAAAAAAAAAAAAAATTAGACCTTTCTCTCTGTCTCTCTCACTGTCCACTCTGCCTGTCAAAAATTAAAAAAAAAAAAAAAATAACCTGAAAAATACTGTTCTTAATGATATTCTAGGACCAATAAGAAAATTGTATGTTTAAACACTGTACTCGGAAAACAGGAGAATATTTGTTTAATGTAGGCTATTCCTATCTAAAACACCTTTTAAAATGTGCTTAAAGTCATAAGGAGAAAACTTGACTGCCCAAACTAGCTAAGCCTCTTCAAGTTCTACATAATCAAGATATTCATGTTTTTAGAAAGCAAGATGATTCGTTCATATCATAGACTGCATTTGTTTCATTCCTTCTGCTTCTCACATATACTGCCTGTAATAACGGTAATTAGAGCTAAACGTTCTCCTTATTTTCCTAATTATCCTTTCATTTGTAGTATTCTCTTGAGGTTAGCTCTCCCTAGAGTATTATTAGAATAATGCATTCTTACATGTAAAGCCCATTACTTGAGGAATCTACTTGGTAGTTAGCTTAACAGTTCTACTCTACTACTAGAACATATACTTAACCTAGGCTTGTCCCTTAACACCCATTCATTTAATAAATGTTTAGTCAGCTCTTAATACGTGCCAGGCACAATTCTAGGTGTGGGGATACTGCAGTGAAGAAAAAAAAATCTGAGACTTTAGCTTATATTCTTCTGATAGGGGAAATAGTTAATCAGTCAATGAACCAGTGAAAACAGGTGTGAATAAATGCTGTGAAGAAACCTAAGTATTACAAGAACAACAGAAGTACATAATAACAGACGTAAATAATAACAGAAGTACATAATACAGTAGATTACATAAATATAAGAAAAGGTTTTATTACTATATTTTACAACAATAAGTAGTTCATTGTTGGAAAATGAATTGTGCTAAATGGAAGAGTTTAATAACAATCTTCAAGCATGGTGTAGGCTGTCATAAGAAATTTAATAAGAATTTGTATTATCACAAAGAACACATGGTTAAATGTATAAAATCTATTCTATAAAAGGAATAACAAAGAAATAAATGGATAATGAATGGCATCAATCTCTGTTCATTCTTGATCTGTTTAAAAATAACCATCCAACTGAATATGAAAGGATAGTAGTTTATATTATCAACATATAACTATGCTTATGAAAATATTTAAAATCTCTTGGGTTGGAATTTTTCATTAAATCATACTTGGAAACAAACTCCTAAAATTTCCTACTTTCTCAAATAGTTTAATCATTTCAAAGTAAACTTAAGTAGGACCTAAACAAAAATTTTTATTTAGATACTTCTCCCAAGTCAAATGAATTTCAAAGTCATTAGAAAATACAAATAAGCTTGATACTATAACTTACCCTGCAGAATCCACCTCTTTAGGATAATTTATCATGCGAAGCACTTGTTCTAGGTTCCGTAAGCTTCTTTTTAAGTCACCTGTTGCCATTATTTAACATTAGCTTCAACTCCAACTTTGAAATAATCTAGCTTTTCACCTAAAAATAAAAATACATGAAACACTGATTAAGTCCATGTATTTTCTTGCTTTGGGTTTTTTTTTTCTTTTATTAAAGGTTCATTTATTTATTTATTTGACAGGCAGAGTGGATAGTGAGAGAGAGAGACAGAGAGAAAGGTCTTCCTTTGCCATTGGTTCACCCTCCAATGGCCGCCGCAGCCAGCGCTGATCTGATGGCAGGAGCCAGGTACTTATCCTGGTCTCCCATGGGGTGCAGGGCCCAAGCACTTGGGCCATCCTCTACTGCACTCCCGGGCCACAGCAGAGACCTGGCATGGAAGAGGGGCAACCAGGACAGAATCCGGCGCCCCAACCGGGACTAGAACCCGCTGTGCCGGCGCCGCAAGGCGGAGGATTAGCCTAGTGAGTGCGGCGCCGGCCTAAAGGTTCATTTATTTATTTGAAAGCCAGAATTACACAGATAGGGAGTGACAGAGAGAGATCATCCATCTGCTGTTTCACTCCCCCAATGGCCACAACAGCCAGGGCTGAGACAAGCTGAAACCAGGAGCTTCTTTGGGGTCTCCCACATAGGTGGCAGGAGCCCAAGTACTTGGGCCATCTTCTGCTGCTTTCCCAGACCATTAGCAGGGAGCTGGATTGAACGCGGAGCGGTCAGGATAGGAACCAGCGGGAACTTAAATCTGCCTATGTTCTATGTAACAGGCCAGACAATTACAGGTCTGACTAGAGACATAGAAATAGCTCCTTAACCTGGCTCTACATGTTTCAATGTCTTCTGAAGGTAGTCCCCATCTGTACAAGGACCCAACAGGAATAGCCCTTTATCTTGAAGTCAGTCTTTAAAGAACAGAACAGTTTACTGCTCCTTAAAAACTTCAGATACTTCCAGGCTCAAAGTATCAAAAAGAATCAAACAAAAAATGTCATCACCAAATAAAACTAATAAAGCCACATTATCTGACCTTAAACTGAGATCTGACAAATCATTCAGAATAATTATACTACAGTTATCTCTCTGAGCTGGAAAAGAACACAGACTACCTGAAGTCAGATAAACAATATCTGAACAGAGAGATTCAATAAACAAAAAGCACAAAAAAGAACCAAACAGAAATCCTGGAGCTGAGAAACAAAATGACTGAATAAAAAAACTCAATAAAGAGCTTTAACAACAGACTTTTCCAAATAAAAAGAATCAGCAACCTGAAAGCCAGGTCAGAAATTATCCAGTTAAAGGAAAAACATAGATGAACAAATGAACAACAGTGAAGAAAGTCTACAAAATTAACGGTGCAGTACCAAGTGAACCAACATGCACATTAAAGGAATGCAAGAAAGTAAAGAGAAAGAGAAAAGAATATTTAAAGAATTAATAGCTGGGGGCCAGCGCTGTGGCATAGTAGGCTAGGCCTCACCCTGTGGCACTGGTTTGAATACTTGCTGCTCCTCTTCCAACACAGCTCTCTGTTTATGACCTGGGAAACAGTGGAAGATGGCCCTAGTGCTTGGGCCCCTGCACTCAAATGGGAGACCCAGAAGAAGCTCCTGGCTCCTGGCATCAGATTGGCCCAGCTCCAGTCATTACAGCCATCTGTGGAGTGAACCAGTGGATGGAAGACTGACTCAGACCAACTCTCTCTAACTCTCTCTCTCTCTCTCTGCCTGCCTTTCTATAACTCTGCCCTTCAAATAAACAAATCTTTTTTCAAAAAAGATGTAATTCTATCTATTTATAAAAAAGATATAGAGAGCCGGCGCCGCGGCTCACTAGGCTAATCCTCCGCCTTGCAGCACCGGCACACCAGGTTCTAGTCCCGGTCGGGGCACCCGATTCTGTCCCAGTTGCCCCTCTTCCAGGCCAGCTCTCTGCTGTGGCCAGGGAGTGCAGTGGAGGATGGCCCAAGTGCTTGGGCCCTGCACCTCATGGGAGACCAGGATAAGTACCTGGCTCCTGCCATCGGATCAGCGCGGTGCGCCGGCCGCAGCGCGCTGGCCGCGGCGGCCATTGGAGAGTGAACCAATGGCAAAGGAAGACCTTTCTCTCTGTCTCTCTCTCTCTCACTGTCCACTCTGCCTGTCAAAACAAAACAAAAAAAAGATATAGAAACAGACAGTTCAGAACCAATGGAACATATACTTGCACATTTATGACAAAGGCAAAGTGGAGTAGCTGTGGAGAAATGATGGCCTTTTTTAATACATAGTAACACTCATGTGTTAGTTGAATATATAAAATAAATAAATTGCAATCCTTACATCACACCCTTCACAAATTTATTTCTAGATTTTCTGTAAATCTGACATGGGATAAGCGAGCTGGCTGAGCTGAGTTCACAAACCACAAGCCCTTGCCCCATGTAATTCTATCTTACTTGTCAATCAGAAAACCCCTTTTCCTGAAATGCCTAGTTTTCATCCAGACTTGGGGAAAAGTCACAACATAAATATGCATATTAAGCTCCACATGGAATTTTACGGTGGTGTCATAAAAATCCCAGGTTGTGAGGAATGAGATGGCCTAATATACAGTTAGGTCAGGAATCTCTTGGAATGAGAAAAGGCGCAGAAGCCCTTTAGTGGACAAAATGCTTTCTTCTCCCCAAAAGTTGCCTTTGACAAAATTATAGCTCCAAAAACTCTGATGAGTTTCTACTTATGAGAATAGGCAAGAAGAAATTGCCAATCCCACCATTCTGATGGGTTTTTATCACCCAGCAGACTAGACAGGATAGCAGTTCAGGACCTCTGGTGGGTTTTGTCCCAGTCCTCTGATTGACTGCTTCCTGTTATTCTGCTCCTCCCAGAAATGTGCACAAATGACCCTACGCTGGCAAGTTTCTCTGGACATTCCTCCCATAGGCAGGCAAGACTGAGAACTAATCTGGCTGTAACTGCAAATACCTATTCTTGTGTTTTGCCAATGGCCAGAATTGGAGGTCTGAGTTTATTTTAGGTTCCAGACAAAACAAATTCTTCTTTGGGATGTCTCCTCCTCATTAACATTCTACAACTTTAATATAAATCTTAACTCTTCCAAGAGACTTCCTTTAGTGCTTCCAGATATATAATCCATCTCCCCAGTACGTGTGCTTTCGTCTTATGCAGTACTTCGTGGAATCTTTTTCTCATGTCTTGAAATACATTTCAATGTCTCTTAGATTATTTCTACTCTGATAATGAAATTTCTATCAAATATGTTCCAGGAACATATCTTCTTCAGTACCACCAGAATATATTTTGAAGGAGAGTAAAATAAAAGTACATCTTGGGTCTGTAGGTGATAGAAATAAGTTATAAGAGAGTATAGAAAAAATGAATTTCTAAAAATATAAGTATTGGAAAAAATTTGACTATTGCTCTACATTTTCATTAAAGACCTTAATAAATTTTGTAATAAATTTATTGAAATCTAAAATTAAGTTATTAAAATCCAATCTATTACTCATGCACATTTTAACAGTACTTTCAGAAATTAAAATAATTAGGGAAGAAGGGAGAATAAAAACAAGTACAGAGCTCAGTTGGGACTGCTGTGTCCACGTATAAGACCGTTTGAAGACAATTTTGGAACAATAATCTACTACAGCCATAATTTCAGAATTTTTACAGTCAGGACAAATCTGCAGTCCTTGAAGAAGGTTGGAGGGAATGTGAAACATTACGAAAATGCAAGCAAGGACTACATGAACTGCTTTCACCTATTCCTTCCAGTCAGCATTTGGACAGCAGTATGGATCCTCGGCTCAGAGGATCCAACAGGAATCTATCATAGGAAACCTGTAATTTCCCAACCCTAAATCACACTCTAATTCTCGGGATAAAATGCTTCGATTCTTCTTTACCGTTATCAAAAGCATATACCAGCTGTGTATAGAGGCAAGCCACTTACAACGCCCCCCTACCCTCCGCCACTTGACTGAAAAAGGCTAACAAGACAGACCTCATTCGCACCTGCTACGGGACTCAAGAAAGGCAGCGGATAGCACGACCTCTGCCCAATATGGGGTGCAGCCTCACCATCTCCCTCGGGCTCACCCAGCAGCCCTCGATAAAGAGCAAAGAAACCGGCACCGAAGGCCTGTGGCCTGGCACAACAAAGTGAGGAGGAAGGAGAAAAGGCAGACAGTCACTGGGACCCAGGCTGCAGCAAGTCGTCCCTACCGCCCAGTGCCCGCTCCCAGGCAAGCTCCTCGCGCCGACCGTTTGTATTTGGAACCGTGGGTTCTGGCCCGCCACGCACCGCGGCAAGACCTTCCAAGCGGCAGGCTCGGGAGCGCTCTTGGATGCCTCGCTGCAGATTCCACACGACGTCCGTACAGAATTCTGAGGAAAATGAGACTTATGAGAGAGACTTCCCAGTGACCAATCAGATTATAAATTGTAATGTAGAAATTTCTGTAATTCTGATTGTCAGAATATCTCGGGAGGCGAAGATAAAAAGGAACAATCTGTAGCGAATCGGACATACCGGAGACAAAAATGCTTCCTCTTTAAGGGTTAGAGCAGAAACGTCACTTCCGGCAACAATAGGAAACGTCAAAACTGGGAGAGTCGGCGACTCTGGCCTCTACAGCTTGAGGTGCTGTGAAGTTCGGAGGACTCTGGTGCTCATTCTGCTAGCAGCTCCACCGGCGTGAGCCAGTAAAGTTTGATCAGGCTTCTCTATGGCCTGGGCACCCGTTCCCGGCTGAGCCATTTTCTTTTTGGCGAGAAGCCCCCACGCAGAGGCCGATTCGTCGCGGCGGCGGTGGAGATCGCAGGTCGCTCAGGTACAAGCGTTAGCCTAGGTCTTCCAGATCTCTTACCTGTCTCCCTTGTATACTCACTTTTCTTGGAAAAAAGCCTGTGCCTGCCAGTTGGCAGAATCTGGCCGAGCAGCCGGAGTTTGGCACCAATGACGCTGCAAAGCATATTGAGTGACAGCAGTAGGGACTTATGAAAATGAAGAGTCAGTATCAAGAGGCGTGAATGGTTGTGTTTCTTCTTTTTCTAGGCCATTGGGGTGTAAGTCGGTTTAAGACCCTAGGTTGTGACCCGGCGTCATCTTGAAATAAAGCGGAGAAGCGGCAAATGTTACCCAAGGCCAAGTGTTGCTTTTCAAGGATAGGGTTATTTTGGTGCCTAGGCAGAGTTTTTGGTTCTTTACTACTTGGCAGTAATGTGAATGTAACAAAGTTAGAATCATTACGGATTGCCCGTTGCTGTGGTAAGCTTTGGTATGAAATTTGGTAATGTCTTCGTTTGGCTTGTTTCTGTGATGTCTCCAATCTTACACAGTAGGTACTCAATGAATATTATTCACTGGGCAACTATTTCTAAGATAGGAGCTCCTCTCTCCCCCCATGCAAATGGTTTACAAAATAAAGCAGGTTTCAGAATGAAGAATATATTTTTCAGGTTGAGTCAAAGTTTCATTTTTAACCGGGAAAGCTGACTGTTTGATGAGATACTTCGTTAGTTACCTATTGCTGAATAATAAATTACCCCCAATTTACCCCCGCTTAAAGCACATAAATATTTATCATCTCCATTTCTGTAGATTGGGAGTTGGAATGAAATTTATCAGAGAGCCTCTGACCCAGGTTCTTTCTCGAAGTTGCAGCCAGGCTGTAATTGGGGCCTGTGACCTCTTCTGACTGCTCCACGAAGGGGCAAGGAGGATCTGCTTCCAAGCACTCACATAGAAAACGTTGTTTTTGTTGGCAGTCACTTTGCTGTAGTTCTTGGCAGGCCTGGGTTTGCAATTACAGGAGTTTCTCTGTAGGACAACCTCACAGTATGTTGATTGGCTTCCCTGGGACTACCAATCTTAGATGATACAGGTTCTTGTAACCTAATCTTGTGATATCCCATTACTACTGCCTTATTGGATTTGTTAGAAATGAGCCAACCCAAAACTGAGAGGAAGTAGTGGGGATTACTCAACTACATGAATACTAGGAGGAAGGGATCACTGGGGTCTTCTTCTTCTTCTTCTTTTTTTTTTTTTTTAGGCTACCTGAACAAATAACCTGGCTGATAACTTTTAGGAGATAATAGCTGGGATTAACTGAACAAAAAATATGCTTATAAAAAATGTAGTCACACAAGGAAACATGTCAGATCATAAAGAAATAAACCTGTACTAACATTATCTCTTTTAGAAAAATATTGTTTTATCCTTTTTTCCTATAAATTATCTTTTTCCTACTAATTAAGAGAGGTTATTTTTTATGTCTCATGTGAAACTGCCTGGAAGATGATATATTGAAATGTTTTTGCCTTTGGGGTATACATGAACAGAGCATGTCACAACTGGAGATGTGTGTTTCTTACCCACTGCCATTTTGTGTTTGAAGCTGGTAAAAAATAAATAAGTGTAAAGTACTTTTTTTGTGTGTGTGAAGTGATAAGGTTTTATTGGGTAAAGTACTTTTAAAAGAGGAAAGTTAACAAATGGCTAGAGATAAGTATATCTATGCAAATCAGTTATGGCCTTTATGTTGATGTGATTAAATAGGAATGGGAGAGGTATGTCTTGAAAATGTATCTAGGCTGGCTTTTAACCATTATTTCTGTATTACCAAGCTTCACATCACCAGGACAGCTTTTGTCAATAAAGCATATAACCTAATGGAAATAAAAGGTACTTCAGATTTGTTGGGAAACAATTTTTGCTATGACTCAATGTAAAATTGCCTATGCTTCTTCCAGCTGAGAAAGATGTTGTAAATCCTTATCATCAGTAAAATGTAATTCAGGTTTACCTGTTGTACCTCAAGTGCATAACACCAGCCTTCATTTGGTAATTATAAATTCAGCTTTTGTATTGGGACTCCCCATGAGGTTATCATACCTCATTTATAGTAGATTATAGCCAATTGACTGAAGTAACTTTTGGCCCTTAGATATATACAAAAGTTCAGACAGATGCTTGAGAAAGTAACACAGTTGAACTGCTTGCATCTACAAAATGTTTTATGGTAATAACTTATAGATTTAGCCAAAATATTAATCATAATATATTTAATTTAAGCTTAACAGGGAATGTTTTTTGTTTATAATGTTTGTGCTGGGTTAAAAGATACCTTCAGCTCCTTCATTCCACAATATCACACTGCATTGAAATTTGTCATTCAAATGTACAGCTATGTTTATTTTTATATCTTGATTCATATTTGGAAATGGGACTATCTCATTAGATGTCATATGATAATGCATCAAAATCATTAATACTAAAACCTAAGAAGTATGCATATAACTCATGTTGTTTTTACATTGAATTAGTTTACTCAAATATTTTTTTTTAAAGATGTATTTATTTATTTGAAAGTCAGTTTCACAGAGAGAAGGAGAAGCAGAGAGAGAGAGGTCTTCCATCCACTGGTTTACTCCCCAATTGGCTGCAATGGCTGGAGCTGTGCCAATCCGAAGCTAGGAGCCAGGAACTTCCTCTGGGTCTCCCACGTGGCCATCATCTGCTGCTTTCCCAGACCAAAGCAGAGAGCTGGATTGGAAGTGGAGAAGCTGGGACTCGAACCAGCGCCCACTGCTGGCGGTGGCTTTACCTTCTATGCCACAGCGCTGGCCCCTCAAGTATTATTTTTATTCATTCTAATGAAAAATATGTTTCTGGAAATGGATCTTCCCTAACTGATTTTTTTCTTTTTCTCTGTCATTTTGTTTTTCTGACAAATTTCTAGATGTTGATTCTATAAGAAACTAAAACATCCATTGCTGACTTGAGTAAGTTTATATCATATTTCAGGAAAGTACTTTAGTGATAGTAGAGATAGTATTATTTTGTGGCTTCAAGTTTAGAAAGTAGGTTTATGGAGTTTAACTCTTTTTGTAATGAGTAGTGTGTATATTAGTCACTAATAGATTACGTTGGATTTTATAAGCTATTTGAATGAGGGAAACAGATTTTAAGTAGTAAGTAAGCCAAGCTTGGAGAGCCTCTAGCAGTTAGTACTGAGAAGTAATTCATGCACCTCATGAACATGGAGGGAGAAGAGGGAGTACAAGAGGAAACACAGATTGTAAACTCATGCACATGCACACCCCTATCTGCATCACCTATTTGTTTTTGTTATTTTTAGAGTTTAGCACTACCCCCCAGGAACCATAAAATTGTTTCTCCAATTTTTTATTGTTGCAAAGTACATATAACAAAATTTATCATCATAACCATCATTAAGTATATAATTCAGTGCTGTTAAATGTATTCATGTGCTGCTGTCACCATCCCTATTACTTTTTTTAAAAAAAAAGATTTGTTTATTTATTTGAAATACAGAATTAATTACAGAGAGAAAGAAACAGAGATCTTCCATATGGTTCACTCCCCAAATGACCACGATGGCCTGAAGCCAGGAACCTGGAACTCTATCCAGGTTTCTTCATGGGTGTCAAGATCCCAAGCACTTACGGCTTTTGCTGCTTCTTTTCGAGGCATATTAACATGGAGTTGGACTGGATCAGAAGTAGAGTGGGGCAGGAGGGTCCCACAAGGGGTAGGTTCACAAGGGATGCTTGACATCCCAGGCCACAGCTTACCCCACAGTGTCACATCCCTGGTCCCTATCCTTATAACTCATAAAACTGAAATCCTATGCCTGTTAAACAGTAACACCCCATATCCCGTCTCCACCTCCATCCATAGTCCCTTGGCAATCACCATTCTGCTTTCAGTCTCTATGATTTATATTACTTCAGTATCTGATTTAGAAGGAATCACATATTATTTGTTGTGTTGTGACTGCTTATTTCATGTGTAATGCCCTCAGGGATCATCCAAGTTCTAGCATATGTGAAAATTTTCTCCCTTTTTAAGACTTCATAGCATTCCATTCTGTATATGTACCATCTTATTCTCATCCATTCTTCATTCATGAACAGTTGGTGGTGATGTAAAATAGGTTTGAGATTTTGATAGAGATTGAATTGAATCTGCAGACTGCTTTCTATATATTGACATCTTAATAGTAAATTTTCCAGTTCATGAACATGTGATGTATTCTATTTGTTCTGTCTTTTTTCATTTCTTTTAGTAATGCTTTTTACCTTTCATTTTAGAAGTCTTTCACATCCTTGGTTAATGCATAAGTATTTTGTTTTCAGGATGCTATTATAAGTGGAATTATTTTCATAATTTCCTTTTCAGATGATTCTGTTGACTTTTGTAACTTGCTGCTTTGATGAATTCATTTATTAGTTCTAAGGGCTTTTTTAGTGGAATCCTTAGAATTTTCTCTATGTAAGATCATAAGATCTGTGAACAGATAATTTTATTTCTTTCTAAGTTGGATGTCTTCTATTTCTTTGTCTTGACTCCTCCCTCTTAGAGCCATTGTATTTTATAACAAAAAGAGATCTTGAAAGTCAAAACCCTTGTCTCATAGGTCAGGAAATCCAGTGCTCATAACTAGCTAGTGGAGTCTTAATCAAATTTCTATTTTCTCCCATCCAAGTATTAACCAGGCTGGACCTTGCTTAGCTTTCAAGATCAGACAGGATCAGGCATGTTCAGGGTGGTATGCCTATAGAATAAATTTCTTTTTTCCGTTGTCTCTTTTGAAAAGTAGATGTGTCATCTCACTTGTGATTGTCCATCTGTTTCAGGTTGTCCTCAGTATTTATCTTAATGCTCTTATTTGTATAAAAGCAATACAATGAGAGTTATATTTTGTTTTATTTTATTTTTACTTCTGCAGTGCTCATGGGAATGGCCATCTTGTTTAGTGGACATGAAAGTGTGAGAGGAGATTAGTTGCCATATGCTACCATG